GCTTACATACTGCCGAGTTACACACACATACATGCATGTTGAGTCGCTTACATACTGCCGAGTTACACACACACACACACACACATGCACGTTGTGAAAAAAGTTAAAGTCCCTTACATACTGCCGAGTTACGCACACACACATGCATGTTGTGAAAAAGTTAAAGTCCCTTACATACTGCCAAGTTACGCACACACATATGCATGTTGTGGAAAAAGTTAAAGTCCCTTACATACTGCCGAGTTATGCACACACACATGCATGTTGTGAAAAAGTTAAAGTCCCTTACATACTGCCGAGTTACACACACACATATGCATGTTGTGAAAAACGTTAAAGTCCCTTACATACTGCCAAGTTACACACACATATACATGCATGTTGAGTCCCTTACATACTGCCGAGTTACACACACACACACACATGCATGTTGTGAAAAAAGTTAAAGTCCCTTACATACTGCCGAGTTACACACACACACATGCATGTTGTGAAAAATAATAATTTGTGACCAAACTGGTAGCTGCACTTAAAACATTGATAAGAATTTTACAGCAAATATCCATTCATTAGTTAGCTAGGCTGAGTATTTTGTTTTACTCACCATCATGCCCCAAGTTAAATAACAGTTTTTGATGTCATTCCTTTTAAGTTGCAGCTTGATCCTTTTTGGCTGCACATTCTTTTCACATCATTTTATTTATATATATTCCACATCAGAAAGTGATTTTTATACTGCAGTACTGCTGTATGTATACTGCTATATACTATATGTAAACGTTTTATTTTTATAAACATAATGATATCATTTGTCTGATTAGAGAACATACAAATAAGACAACTTAGGCATGTTTTGTAACAAAAATAATAAACAAATTTTGGTTGTCTATGGTTTTAGAAAGCAATACATTATTCAAGTAAACGGTAAAAAGTGTGTTATTGTAATTTAAACTGTTTCCAATTTGTTACAGTGTCAGTCCCAGTTTTTCACAATGTGAATTTGGTAATTGTAGTCATAACTTTAAATACGAAATTTCATATCTGTAATTTGTAAATTTATGTCAAAATTCCCATTCTTTACAAGATTATACAATGTGTGTGTTTCAGTACTCTTTACATTTACTGTAAAGCTCAGGATATCTACATCTAAAATGTGTATTGAAATCGTATTTTGTCCAGAAAAGTTTATACAGTTTTAGTGTCACACACGTGTTTATCCTTTGGCTGATGAACCAACGAGACTTTGACATACTGGACCGTTTATGTGTAGTTAGATAACATACGCTGATAACCTGAATTGATAACGCTGACTGTTTTACAGCTGGTTGAGGTTTTTAACAAATGTTCCTCCAATGTGATCCCGAAAACATCACGCTTTTATACCGATACAATATTACACACAGATCATATACAAAACCTAAATAGAATCAGAGTTATATAAGTACGGTAAGTAAGATTCCAGAAACATTAAATATAATATATTTACTTCAATACCTGCATATTATGGCTAGGATAAACAATAACAGTGTCCTCCCCATTTACTATATGGTACGCTCCCAATCAATACGAGCTTGTGGTGTGAGCATTACATCAGGCATGTCTGTCTGTCTGTCTGGGCCACAACGAACACGCACATTTTTTTAATCAATAGAAAATGAACGAGGAGGCATTGAAGGGCAGCGGTCATGTGTAAAGGTGATGCACAAATATATAAATAACTTGAATTAAGAGAAGAATCCATTACTGTTGTTTGTGGGATTTCTGTGAAGCTACCTAATCTTGAAATCATAGACTGGAAGGTAGGTAGCTGTTGCAGTGTTCAAAATAAATGGGTCCAAGACAGCCAAAATTATCGCCGAACAACTCAACTGCCCGATCCCTTGACGGCCCAGTCGTCTAGCCTATAATGGAACGTGCGGAATACCGTATAAATTTCGAGTCGTGTTTCTTTGCATACCGTGTTCTGATTTCCAGATGCTGTGATAATCAAGACTACATACTCATGACGTCACCCGAATACAGACAGATTAATAGTTCAACTATCTGAGACAGCAAAAACGGGAATAATGACAACATACATAAACCTAAGTTATTTACATGATGAATAATAACAAAAGGGAATTTAATAAAATCTGCAAATAGGGATCGTATAAAAAGTACGGAAACAAGGGTGGAGATACTGTAGACATTATTTACTCAAACTACAAACCCTTATTTTGGCTCCATTCTGTTACTTAGAATTACATTTGGTGGAGTCAAAATAGGGATTTGTAGTTTGAGTAAATAATGTCTACAGTATATCTAGCCTTATTTAAACTATCCCTATTAGAAGGTTTTTAAATTCCCAGTTTTTTATTTATCTTGTTTGCTGGGTTTTTTTATGCTCAACTATGGGCAAAGGATTACTTGATATGGTAGCTAATTTCATACATTGTAATGATAATAAACATAGCTTGTACCTAGCTGATACGGTTCATGATGATTTACTGTAGCTACTGACTATTTGATCACATTAGTTCGAGATGTAAAATGTTAAGTAGCAGTTGGAGACTTTCATGGAGAGTTTTTGAGAATATAATGAGCATTCATAGTTTCTGTGTAACTAAATTATCTATATATAATGCATAGCAATTGGCAAATATTTGCTTAGATTAAAATTCAACCCTCACTCAGAGCGAAAAATATTTTACCAGTAGAAAAGCAGCCTTTTCAAATAAAATATATAGATCTAAAAAAAAGCAATGTTTTAAAGTAATTATTCTACGAATGTGTGTAATAAAATTGAATATTATGTATATTGTTTTTTTTACTCCTTTACTTCATATAAAATATAGGGATTGGCCCCCTAAATCACGATTGTATAGTGTACAAAGTATTGAGAATTTAGATGTTACAGTCATCTTATGTTCACCTATTATTGGCGGGTAATTCCTGCTTCACCCTGTACTTAAGCTTTTTAAAGGAACAAAAAATATTTGTAATAAAGATAACTTCAAGGGGTAATGATAACATTGTTTACACTATAATTATGATGTTTGTAACTATATAAAATACAGAAGAAACCAATAATATTTTTAATACCACTACGACCTTCGAAGTACCTTATTTAGTATTCTACACAAAGTTTGGGTGCAATATACCGAGCCATTTTTGTTATAGACTAAACAATATAATAATAATTACAAACTGGCCGTTTTGAACGGATTTTCGTTACCTTGTAAGTCTTAAACATGCGGGCTTTTTTATGCAGTTTTATGTGTGTACAACCTTAACAGTCAATAATAAAGGTTTTAAGGTGTTGTTTGAACTGAATCTTTACTGTTTAAGGTGCTTTTTTTTCCCAGAACATTCTATTATGATTTTTCTGCAAGCCTTGTAATCTCTCTTATGAACCACGATACCAATAACAACACGTGTTCCTATTGTATTCTATAACAGCGTAAAAAGTAAAAAGGTGGCAAAATAAAAGTCGAATAATACTACGCATCTTATGGACTGTCACAACTAGGGCTAACAGACGTATCAATCATAAACCTTATGTTTTATGCATATTGTTAAAATACCTGTGGCTGTCACAACTAGAGCTAACAGACTTCCCAGTTATAAACCTTATGTTTTATGCATATTATTAAATTACATATGGCTGTCACAACTAGAGCTAACAGACGTATCAATCATAAACCTTATGTTTTGTGCATATTATTAAAATACCTATGACTGTCACAATTAGGGCTAACAGACGTATCAATCATAAACCTTATGTTTTTATGCATATTATTAAAATACCCATGGCTGTCACAATTAAAGGCTAACAGACGTCTCAGTTTTTAACCTTATTTTTTATGCATATTATTAAAATACCCATGGCTGTCACAATTAAGGCTAACAGACGTCTCAGTTTTTAACCTTATTTTTATGCATATTATTAAAATACCCATGGCTGTCACAATTAGGGCTAACAGACGTCTCAGTTTTTAACCTTATTT